ATCCAAAAATTCATCGAATTGGGTGTCACCGTTGGTCTCCATGATCTGGGCTCAGAGTGGCGTCCGTGACCTGCTGGACAAGTGAGCGGAATCTCGACACCGTTTTCTTCATTTTCACAGGCGATCGATGAAATTGAAAGCAACTTCACCTCTTTTGTTTTCCTCTCTTTCTAGTTAATCGATCAATGAATAAAACAATAATCATACATACAAAGTAATTCTATTAATATACGAAGTACTTTCCAATTGTGTATATAATTTTTAAAATATACGAAGTACTTGTTTAATATTTTTATTTTTTTGTAATTGATGTTATGTTGCATTTTATTTTAAACTTTGTTAAGATAATATACTTTAATTACAAATTACCCTAAATAGGACAAAAAAACATTTGTATATTCCTTATCTTAAATAGGACAAATTACCCTAATATACGTTTGTAAATTACGTTAATTACCCTAATATACGTTTGTAAATAGGTATATGTAATTACAAATTTAGCTAGTACAAAAATGACATGTTATGGTCAAAGTATGAGTCTGTTTGATCTTCTCGATCTATTTTCAACGTATTATCCTTATCTTTTAATTTTTTTATCAAATAAGAACGGTTGATTTCAGTGTTGAATTGTACGTAGTATAATAATCAAAATAAGTAAATTCAATATTACTTTTCTAGTTCATTTGACTGAAGTTACTATTGAAAACTATTTTAGCTATTTTTACATGAAATTTTTTCTTCATTTTAAGAAAAGTGCGGTTGGAGATGGACATAATTGTAAGATTAATTAAATTACGCGGAGAGAGGCGCACGGTTGGAGATGGACATAATTGTAAGATTAATTAAATTAATCTTATTTAGAGAATAAATTAGGCATTACTCCTACTTAGGAACTTTCCCATAATTTTAGTCCTATTTATGGCAACAAAAAAGCTTTTTGTACACACAAAGTGTACACACTTGTACACCCTATAAAAGGGTTTTTAATTTTTACCTTCTTTTCTTTTACCCCTTTTCTTCCACTCGGCCACTCCCTCCCTTCTCGTACATCACCCCCTCCCCTTCCCTTCCTTTCTTTCTCTTCTATGCTCAAGCATTGAGGTAATAAGAAAGCACATACAGAAACACAAGTGAGGATGAGAAGGAAGAACACTCGGTTGAAATAAGAGTAGACCGCCACTCCTTGTAGCTGCATCTCCACGGTCAACTGCTGCTCCCACGCCACAATCATCTGATCTGATAACCATACGACAACATTTCTCACACCTCTCTTCATCCATATCAAGGTAGTAATTCTCTTGAGCTATATATTTAATAAATAATTTGAATTATTCTTAGTATATTGATCTTCCATTGTATATTGTATGTGTAGAGTCTGTTTCACTGGTTTTGATTGAAGATCGAGCATGATTTTTTTAGGTTAAAAGAAATCAATTTCATACTACCCTCAAAATGTTTGTTAAAATGTCTGAATGAAATTTTCTTTCAATTGAAGTACCAATCTGAAATTATGATATATTCAATTGATGTACTAGCCTGAAATGTCTCGATTGAGTTTTCTTGCATTTCCCGTTTCCAAGAATGGAAGACAAATTGACAAAATGGTGATGAACTCACCTCTATGTACATGTTTCATAATAGGGAGGAGCCAAAGCAGTGTACCGTACATCTTCACAAATCAATTGTTATTCCGCTTTTTGTAAATTTGTATTTTAGTTTAAATTCAACTTATCAATTATGTATTGCCATATAATCAAATCTGTTCATTATTATGTTTTCATATCATTGATCTAATTTAATTTTATTGAGTTCATATTTTAGCCAAATGGGTTGATGCAATGCCAGAAACTGCCACAGTGAAGAATGTTCTCATTTGTGAAATCTTGCATGAATATTATATCAAGTATGTCTGAAGCTATCCATAGGTTACTACTCTCAGAGGGGAAGGCTACAAAGGCTCAAAGTATGCCCTTGCTTATGAGGATCTATAAAGATGATGACTTGATGCTTGTTGGTGATGTTCCTTGTGAAGTGTTCCTGTCATCATGCAAGAGGTTGAGAATCATGAAATTAAAAGATCGGAGAAAGAGGTTTTGGTGTTGGAAAGTGAAGATCTAGAAGCCAAAAATTGATAGGAAATGAGTGGAAATTGAAGATCTCTTCTGTCTTAGGCTGGGAATTTAAAACCCTGTCTCTGGTGATTATTTTGGCTCACGTGTATTGTATAGTTGTTGAAATTTATGAATTCCTATTTAGATTTCTTGATGTAATTTCATATGCTTTTAGAAGTATGTAATTATGGTAAAGTGGTTAAAGCATTGCAAGGAACACACAAACAACAATTATTGTTAACACGATTTCTTATGTTTGCTTCTCTTTTACACCCTCCGTCCCTTATAACTTTGCCAACTTTACTTTTTTGGTTGTCCCAAAAACTTTGCCACTTTCCCTTTTAGTCAATCAATTTGTGGTTCGTGTTATTTCTTTCTCTTCTGCACAAATCTCTACCACACAGTTTTTACTTTATTATTCTACGTGCCAGTCAAACTTGGCAATCCTTTTAGGGACGGAGGGAGTATGACATTATGAGAATATAAACAATGTTTTAATCATGCACAAATAATATAAACGAAGACATAGACGATGCTTTGAGCACAAACAAAATAAATGAACATACAGACAATTATTATCTACACACAGGCAAAATAAACGAACATACAGACAATATAAATGAAGACATAGAAGATGTTTTGACTACGCACAAACAAAACAAACAAACAAACAAAAAATTATTATATATGCACTGATAAAATAATGAACTTACACACAATGTTTTAACCACACATACAATATAAATGAAGAAATAGAGGATGATTTAACTACGTAAATGAACAAACACACAATGATTTAGCCATTCACAGATAATATGAAATGACCAAACAGACAATGCTTTAACCAATCACAAACAATATCAAATGAACAAACAAACAATGCTTTAACCATTCAAGACAATATCAAATGAACAAACAGACAATGCTTTAACCATTCACAAACAATATCAAATGAACAAACAGACAACGCTTTAACCATTCACACAATATCAACAAACACATATGATGACTTGACTATGCACAAACAAAATAAATGTACATACAGACATTTATTGTCTACACACAGACAAAATAAATGAGAACACAAACAATAATTGTTGTGTGATAAAATTTGTGATTAGTCACTTAGTAAAATTAATGTTCTCATATACATAATGTAATCGTATTTAGACTTACTTTTGTTGCCTGTGAAAATGCACTTGATAAAAAAACTATTGTCTCTCCCCAAAGTCCCAAACTATCATAATTGATATACTATTCAATACATTTTATTTACAACTGAAACAAAGCCAAGTACTATAAATGTAGCTACTACAATATTTCAATCTTTTTTGAAGCTAAATTCAAAGTGCTAATACATAAAATCTCAAAAACAAGCTAAAGAAATCATTAAATCAACACCAACAAAACTCAATCTAAATTTGACCACATGCCCAGACAGTAGTGTCTCTACATGAGCAAATAGAGCAACACCATAACTCCTCCAATAGCAGCAATGAAGTAGGAAACCAGAGAGTTTGAAGGTTGAATTGTGTCCCGTACTGTGAGAATTCAAAAGCGGTTATGAACAGCCCATTCATTATAAGTCTCAAACTCATTTCTTAATGAGGAGGATTGAGGCAAAGACAGCAGTCTGAATGTTTCTTGGATCAGCTTCATATCTCTTCTCCCACCACATATTAGGGTGATCATAAAGCCGAGTTTGACATAACTTCATATCAGAAGAGATTGCAACATATATCAGTTAACCCTTAGTTAAACATTTTGACAAAAAGGAGAATGAACACACAAAATCATGTATAGGAATCAATAATCATTGAAACATTTCCACAAACACCTTTTGAGCATAAAAGTAATATTTAATAGTTGAACAAAAATTTAAATATTAACATCACAAATCTATAAGGATATAGCAATGTAAATAAGCATTTAACATTACAACATAAATTATATACATAGAGCCGAAAAAACAGAATCAATTGTAACCGTAAATGCACAAAAAATGGAATAAATACCTCATATGTGCAAGGTGCGTTGCAGTGGTGGGGTCGCCGGGAAACTGCCGCGATAGAGTGGCGGGGAGACTGGAGAAGAGGACAAATCCAGCTGCAATCACGCCGTTCGTGTTGGACTCGGAATTGAAGACAAGCGATGATGAAAAAGATCTACCTCAAATTAGGGATTTGGGAAAAGAGAGACAAATGAAAAGAGAAATGAGAAAAGAATAGGGTGCAGGAAGAATGAAGAGAGAGGAAGAGAGGCGGATGGTGAGACGATGATTTTTTTGGGAAGAGATGGTAACTTTTTGAGTTTATGTAGTGTGTATAGGTGTGTGTATAATAGTGTGTACAAAGAGCAAAAAATACTTTAAACCGACTAGTTTCGTGTAATCATCACCAACTTATGTGTACAAAATACGCGTGTTTTCATGTTTTTGTTCTATAATGAGTAATTTGTTTTTTTGAAGGAGAGTAATTTTTTGATATGCTTCTATTAATTTAGATTTTGCCCAATCTATGGTATTCATACGGTACCATACATTCATTCACATGGACCAATTAGAATGTTTCAGTTGAATTATTTAAATCTAAATTTAAAATTATACATGATATAATGCTTTGAAAAAATTAAGTAAACGGTACGGTACCCGAATTTTTTTAAACGAGTACTTGTTGTCACCCTTTACGAATGGCAACTTGGCAACTTGGCAGAGTACACGTGCCATTACGCGATTTCTTCAAGAACGGATGGATCCACCAAGATGAGATACATAAATGAGTATAGGTGAAAGTCCAGAAGGAAAGCGCAGAAACATTTAGAGATGACGGATATGGCTGTGGAGGGAATAGAGATAGCGTTGACTGAGCTCAGGCAGACTTTCGATAGTGGGAAAACCAGAGGACTTGAATGGAGGAAAGCTCAACTTCAAGCAATACTAAAACTCCTCGCCGACAATGAAGATTTGATCTTCCAAGCTCTTAAACAGGATCTCGGCAAGCACCGAGTTGAAGCTTATCGTGATGAGGTGAATCTTCTTTCCTCTTTAAATTTTCGCTTTTCAAGCGCAAATTCGTCATACTTTTGTTTTTAAGAATCAATGAGCAAGTTTGGTGTGACTGTTATAACGTTGATATTGCAAACATAAACTTTAAGTGTTAAATGTTTATGGGGAAAAAGTCCTTGTTCATTCATAATATAAAGTGATAAAGTGACATGTGTAGTAGTGTTAATTAGTACGGACTAATAACTTTTTCAAAATTTGGTTCTTGTGTTTGAATTTGAATGCATATTTTACCTGTGATTTTAACTAGTTCTAGAGTTCGTACCCGATTTGTTCTCTCCGCTATACACTACTCATTTTCATCATCAAATTTTTTTTAGATCCAATTTGGTCCAACTATGCAATTGGATTCAATTAGTCTCTAGTTGGTAAAGATATCTTCCTATGTTGAGGATTACATTGGCTCCAACAGTACAAAGCTGATGGTAAAATTGAGTTTGGATCAAATATAGAGAATGAGTAAAATTATGGGGAATTTTGAGTTTGCACCCCACTTTCAAAACTTTTAGACTTTGCACCCCATTTTCAAAACTTTTAGACTTTGCACCCTATCTACAACATTTTGTGAAGAAAAATTCCTGAATGGGGTGCAAAGGCAATGACATTTTAGGGGAAATAGGGTGAAAAGTCTAAGAGTTTTAAAAATGGGGTGCAAAGTTCAATATCACCCAAAAAGCGGGGTGCAAAGTCAAAATATCCCTAAAATTATCCTCTTGCTTTAAAACCAATTATGTATGAGGACTAATTTAGGTTCTAATTTCATAATCAAGAACAAAGTTGGTCCTATAAAAAGTAAGTCCAGAACCAAATTAAGTACTAGTGTAAACGGATGAAATTGGGCATTAACTCGTTTTACTACAGTGGATTTAAGCTACATCACTTTTTGGAAGTGAAGCCTAAATCTATGCTTTTGAAAGTTAATTTTCCTTCAGTTGTTGGTAACTTTTCTGGATTTACTTAATGGTTTGCTTGATTGGTGCTTGTTTCTGTAGGTAGGTGTTTTGGTTAAATCTGCTACCTACGCTTTAAACAATGTTGAGCAATGGATGACACCCAAAAAGGTTAGATTCCATACTTCCCCCAATGCTGAAAGGATTAACATAGCATTATTATTATTATTTTGAATGGAAACATAGCTTTATTATTATGTTTGTAATATGAACAAAAGTTGAAACTGTTTGGAATGGTGGTGGATTGGTGGAACATCATACCTGTTGCACTGTGTGTTTTCATGGTGAGTTGAGCAGAGTTAAGAATGTGCAGTATTTAAAATTTATGACTAATGATCACCAAAATCCTTATCACCTTCACCCCAACTACATGAGGTTGGTAGAATGAAGTGTATAGTGATTTATTGTTTGAAGTCAGTTAATACTATAAATTCATTTAAGAAAAAAAGTTGTAAAGTGTTTATACTGCATGTCTTCCCTTGCAACCTTCTAAAGATGGAACAATGAGATTAAGTTCCACAATAGTAATAATAGTAATACTCCGTAATTGTTATGACATACTTTTGGCAGGCCAAACTACCACTTATATACCTCCCAGTCAAAGGTAATGTTATGCCTGAGCCACTTGGTGTAGTACTCATATTGTCATCATGGAACTTCCCCATCTGTGAGTTACTCTGATTCTACTAGTCTATTCAGTTCTGCCCTGTTTATCATCACTTCTAGCTTAAACATACAACTTTAAGATTGCTTTTGTTGTTTAAAATTCACCTGTTTAAATTTGTTTGAACCTGAAAGGATGAAACATATCCAGAACAGTCATTTTATACGATACACTGAAGTGATATTCTAAGTTGAGGCACTGTTTAATAGCCACAATCGGCTTATTCTTCTCCAGAGACAGAATAAACAGAATAAGTAACTTTGCCTTACTTATTTGGCTTAAATGGATGTTCACAGCTGACACTTTCACTTTCAAAAAATTCAACATATCCAGTCATTTCTGCCATATAACTTTAACCAAATAATTCCTAAATGTCCATTTTCTTGTGTAGCATTATGTTTGGATCCATTGATTGGAGCCATATCAGCTGGAAACACAGTGGTTTTGAAACCTTCTGAAGTAGCACCGAAATGCTCTTCTTTTTTAACCGATATGATCCCACGTTATTTGGACTCTAAAGCAATTAAAGTCATTGAAGGCGGAAGAGATATATCTGAGCATCTACTGCAGCAACGATGGGACAAGATCTTTTTTACAGGTACTTTCCCTCCAGTGTTGCTGTATATTAGCTTGTTTGACGGTTAGTCTGTTTCATTGATCTAGTTAGGCTGCTCATCATGGGCCTGAAGATTTCTTGAGTTGACTGTATATTTTATGCTTAACTGTTACTGGTTGCGGGTGTGGGTTGGGTGATAAAAAAATTAAGATTGAAAGCAATATAACTAAAGAGCCTCCCTGCCTTTGACAAGAGAAAGGTGGCACAGCCTAATAAAGACTCTAAGCAATCAATTTCAAAATTATTGAGGATATTATTTATGAGTAGAAGCCCTCTATTTGTATGAGCCCCAAGAGTCTTGGTAGTTGGGTAACCTATTACAATACTGCTGCAAGGAATACCAACTAAAAAAAGAACGTCAACAGTAATAAGACATTATAAGTAATAAGAGCAATTGGAACTAATACTAATATTAACAACAACAACATCCAAGCCTTATTCCCAAAAGATTTTGGAATCGGCTAACATGAATCAATCCATGATATCGGAGCAAAATGAAAAGAAAGTTACGAAAAATAAAAAGATAATTTAAGATAATACTACGTAAAAGATAAGATAAAGATGAATATAAGATAAAGATGAATATAAGATAAAAGAGCATAAGAAAGATAAAAGATAAACATAACATAAGAACATAAGAAAGATGAAGAAGATAAAAAAATAAAAGAAAAAGAGAGACAAAAGAGATCAATCCTTCACACGAATATTCGCCCTCCACTTTGCTCTCTCCAAAGCTATACTCTCATCCAACCAAACAAGAAGTATACTAATACTAATATTAATAAATAAAATATCAATATAATTATAATAGGAAGACTCCTCTAAAACTTCCTCATGTTCTATCTGCGCAACCTTGACACTAGAAATGCACTCTGTCATTGCTCCCTTCATGGACATCAAGCTTGTTCCTAAGCTTGACGGAGAGTAATATTGAATGCCAATATGATCTGGACTTCTCCGGTCTTGTACTAGTGATTAGCACTACAGAGCTTTAGTGATTTTTGGAAAACTAAAAGAATAGAACCATAAAAAAGAAAAGAATGTATTTCAGGCAGTAGACAAGTGGGACAGATTATCATGGCTGCAGCTGCAAAGCACTTGACGCCAGTTACTCTAGAGCTTGGAGGGAAGTCTCCTGCCATCATTGACTGCATACCGAATTCATCTGATTTAAAGGTTCCTCCTTTTATATATTTTAGATCTATAAACCATTTGTCCCTCAGGTATACACCACTACTCAGTTCGGTCCGCACCTTTTGTTGTATATTTGAGTGTTCACGAAATTTCAACTTAATCCTGGGCTCAATTTGGTCCCCAGAACTATGAAATGTGGACTCAGTTTAGTCATAAACATACAAACTTACCATCTTAATTAGAGTAAGATATGGACAGGTAGTAAATTTTGTCTAAACTTTATATTGAGGACCAAATTGAGTTTACAAGAAGGTCGATCGCCAGTTTGAGTAATAATGTAAATTTGAAGACTAAATCAGGTATTAACTCGTTTCAAATTCTTACAAGTTGTGATAATGAAGTGTTAGAGATGTATATGAGACCATAACTTTGCATTCATATCTCAACATTTTTTAATTAAAGGTCGCTGCCAAGAGAATAACTAGCGCGAAGTGGGGTGCTTGCAATGGCCAAGCCTGTATAGCAGTTGATTATGTGCTTGTGGAGCATGGATTCTCTTCACTTCTGGTATTGACTAATGCAGATCGTACAATACCGTTCATGCTCATTCTTATATAGTTTATGGGTCCATCTCGAACTAATAAAATGCTAGGGATAGATTGAATAAAAATAGGGAGGGAATAATGTAGCAGAGGTTTTGAAGGAAAGAAAACATAGGATAAAATTGGTTCAAACTCAATAAAAGCAATTTATATTTATTATTAAATAAAACATAAGAAATGTGAACAGATTTAAAAAAAGTTAATCATATTTTATTTTCTAAGTCTTGGGAGCGGCCTCTTGTAAAAAATGACAAGGGAAGGCTTGCCCCTTATACACCCTTGTGGTGGGCCCCTTCCTCGGACCCTCGCCTTGCGAGGGACACCAATAAGCACCGGAGTGCCCTTTTTTTGTATTTTCCAAGGCAAAGCCAATTCAACACAAGAAAATAACTTTTAATTTTTCTTACCATTTTCCCCTGTTCCGTAGTATTTTCCGGGATCCAGACATACCCTCATATAATGTTTGAAATAACAAGTGTTTTGGGTTGAAAATTTCCAGGTTGAAGCGTTGAAGAAGTGTATATGCAAATTTTATGGGGAGGACCTGACAAAGTTGGAGAACATTTCTAGTATTGTGAACAAGCGCCAATTTGATAGATTATGTGGGCTTCTCAGAGACCCCACAGTTAAAGATTCCATTATTTATGGTGGCTCGGTAGATGAAGAAAATCTGTAAGTTTTTCTATATCCCTAAAGACCCAAAATGGCTCAGTTCCTCAATGCATTGGAGTATCCCTGACGATTACTGGTGGAATGGTACAGGATAATAGAACCAACAATATTACTAAATCCTCCACTTGATTCTGAGATCATGACTGAAGAAATATTTGGCCCCTTGCTTCCTATAATTACGGTAATATTATTGCCAATGTACCTTCTTTACTGTTATTTACCCTGCCTAATCTTCTTTATGCTCTGTCTGACCCTGCCCCGGCATGACTTGGTGCTAAACCGTAGTCTACCACTTGCCTTGCTCCTAATGGTTTTTATAACATGGTGGAATGCTTGCTTGAAGCAACATCTCAAGCCTTTGTTCTTTCCAGGTTGCTGTGGAAGACATTTTCCTGGAAATTGTTTTTCGAGTAAATAGATGTTTTTTGTATAAAGTAATATTTGACCTGCAACAATAGAAAACATAAAGCTGTTTATCTGGAAAGTCGCTTTCTATGAAAGTCTTAAGAATCAAGGAAAAATATATGATGTGAAACCCATGAAAATCTTTTAGTGTAATGTTTTCTTGTGCCAAACATTAGAAAGTCAGAAAATCTTTCCGAAGAATGACAATCCTCCTATTAGAAGCGGAGCCTAAATAAATAATGAACAGTTTGAAGTAGCATTGTCTGGAAATTGCAGTCGATTAGAAATATCTGATACTGCAATGTGTATCACAGCTAGATAAAATTGAAGAAAGCATCAAGTTTGTAAAAGCAAGGCCAAAACCTCTTGCACTCTATGCGTTCACAAAAAATGAAATGTTAAAGGAACGGATTTTACTGGAAACGTCCTCTGGAAGTGTGGTTTTCAATGATACTATGGTTCAGGTATCTCCTCCCATTCTTTTAATTTCAAGTCCTTCATTTTCTTAGAAGAATATTTTCCACTTTTGGTCTCATGACTGTTACATCATCTCCACTTTTGGTCACCATTCTTCGCCTTTTCCACCTTCAAGAGCCACAAGTGCCTTATTCTGCTTATGAACAGAATAGAGATATTAGCTTTTGAGTTTTGACTTACTTATTTGGCTGAAATGGATTTTACAGAACATCGAATAACCATATCATTAAATGGGTGTCGGGGCATGATTATAGATTTCTTGTTAATTTTGGACTTTTCCCATTACTTCTTCCGAAGCACAATTTTTCCAAAACCTGCCTAATGAGTGGTCGGAATGGGAAAAAAGTGGCTACAAATCCATCACACCAAAAGTGATTAAAAGTAGAAGTTGTTAACCAAATGTGGAAAATCTTACTTCTGATAATGCTGATTGAGGTATAGGCCTTCTTTTCTTTAATTTCTTGGAATGTAAACCTGCAGTTTGTGTGTGATACATTACCATTTGGAGGTGTGGGGGCGAGTGGGTTAGGGCGTTACCACGGGAAGTACTCTTTTGATGAGTTTAGCCACGAAAAAGCGGTGTTGCATAGGACCTTCTACCTGGAATTGGAGCCTAGACATCCTCCATGGAGCACTTTTAAGCTGGAGTTTGTCAAACTTGTATACAAATTTGATTATTTTGGACTGGTGCTGCTCATTACTGGGTTGAGAAGGTTATTCAGAAGTTCAGAACACGCGAGGAAAAACCGGTGAAGAAGATGAACCAAACAAAGCTGATTCCCGCTCTCTTAGAATATCACTCCCTCCCCTTGTAGAAGCCGACCGTTATTATATTTATGTTTGCCAATCTCGTGAAATAAAGTACGGTCTTATGCATTATGTAACTTGCCTATGAATCTTTGTGGCAGTGATTTGTTGTCTGTAATAAACCAATAAACCATAGCGTGCTGATTTCACTAATGAATTATTGTATTTTTTATGTACATCACGTTTTATTTCCTTACTTTTCTATAGGGAGGTGGATTGTGTTTAAATTCTTCACACCAACTGTATATATTTTTGGCAAAAAGTCTCTCCAATGCACAATGAGCGGACCAAGTGACGATGTGCTGATAAAGGGGGAGAGTTGAATCTCATCTCTATAATCAGCAAGCAGCAAGTAGATTTTTTAACCAAGAAATAAAGATGTGAAATTTTAGATGGGGACACTTCCCGGTAAAAGTAAATCCAACCTTCTATTAAATCATTTATTAAAAAAATTCCTACCGGGGCATAGCTCACATGGTAGGAAGGGAATTCCATATGGGAGAGATTTGAGTTCAACTCCAAAGAAAGATTTGAAAATATGATATGAGTATAACATTGATTTACTCATATTTTGGAAAACAAAACAATAATTCTATATTGAACCTGCTTTTACCTATTTAAGGGGAATTCCCCCTGGAAGCAGGTGGTTTATATTAATAAGAAAGAACGTAAGCAGGGTACAAACAGACAAAGAACATATAGTCTACCGTCTGCTCTTGAACCAGACTTAGAATCTGTCATTCCTAATGAAGCACCCAGATTCGCTGATCCTAAATTGGGCTTACATGAGCTAATGACTAGTAAACTAAGTTCCCCATCACCTGTCCTAGGTTCTAGAGTCTTGACAAAATTAAAAAGACTATCATCCCAAACAAATTGATAGACCTAACAACCAAAACTATCATAAGAAACCAAATGACAACCCATCTTAAAATAATCAAATTTGTATGTCTAGGCTCAATATGAACTTCAGTCCAAAATAAACCAAATGAAACCAAATGAAACCAAATGACAACCCATCTTAAAATAATCAAATTTGTATGTATACAAATTTGATTATTTTGGATATTGTATCAATCGGTACATTACCATATCATATTGAAAATGCCAATATGTCAAATAAATTTGATATTTTTCAATACAATATGTACCATAATATTTAAGTTCAAATAGTTTTCTCCATCCTTATGACTCTATGAGCACCTCCAATGTAACAATGACAACGGCACATATGTGACATGATAAATATTGACGCATAAAATTTAATTGAATGAAGTTTCTCTACTTTTCTATTCACGACCTTCTATATTTGTAATAATATTTTATCAATAATTTCAAACACAATATATACATTGAATTTTTTTACTTAATATCGTAGACAAAGAATTACTAAAAATTAATAAGATTGTTCAAATAAGAAATACTTCGTACTACCTACGCAAATCATATCCTACACCCAGGTATAAAGCTACACCCAATATTTATTTTTGTAATTCTCTTCAACTTTGAGGCTTCTTCTCCCATTCCATATATGTGGCACGTTGAACCCTCACCATTGATATCACCGTGCGACCTTCACCATATGCCATCGCTTCGAGTTTCATCATCACCATCACCGCGCGAGAAGAGTTCTTCTGTTGATGCAGTCTAATCATGAGTAGATTCCACCTTGCTGCAACATGATTCGTTTGAGTCTCACCCGCGTCGCCGAATCGTTGGTGCTCCGGTCCGTCGAGATTTGGGCATCTCTGGGCCGTCGTTGTTCCTCCATCTTCGGTGCTGCAGAGATTCTAGATGACAACATTAATGCTTGTATAGACTAAGTTTTGGTGAGATTGACCTGACAGATCAATCTAACCCTTGTGGCATTGCTCTCACACACCATTTTTCTCTCGCTCTCACACACCAAATGAGTATAACGCTTAAACGAAATAAGCATAGACAAATGAGGATTTGAGCGCATAAATGATTTCGAACAACGTTTTGAATTTTTCGATACTCATTTGTAAGTTATGTATGCTTATTCGGTACAATCATTATGCTCATTTTAGAATGTCATACAAATACATAATTCAGAAGTACCATATTACATTAGATTCACATATTAGAATTCATAGGAGTTAATTATAGATATAATTTAAGCAATTTTACAAAAGAATAAAAACTAATAACAAGAAAGTGAATTAGAAGATATGGCAACAGAGGCCACGATACTCAATTGCAAGTTTTTAATACTCAATAGGTGAACCTCAATGCTCAATGAAAATGTATTGATACTAAACTAGTAGAACTTACGATTTTAATAGCAATGAATATTTTAGAAGTATAATATTTTAAACAGAGAACACGATGCTCAATATTAGACTTCACATATTCAACAGAATTGGTCTGATGCTCAGTAAAAGTTCACCAATGCTCATTTAACAGAAATCATGATTTTCATATCAATAGAGAAGATTTAATGCACAATGAAATGTCGTGATGTTCAACTAACAAACCTTACGATTTTCATATCAATGTACATTTGGTAGGTTACATATGCTCATTTGGTATTGCTTTTATGCTCATTTCTAAAATTTCATATTAATGCATACTCCCTCCGTCCCTTAAAACTTTGTCATTTTTCCTTTTTTGGACGTCCCAAAAAACTTTGCCACTTTCCCTTTTAATCAATTATTTTGTGGTTTCTGTTATTTCTCTCTCCTCTGCACAAACCTCAACCACACAGTTTTTACTTTATTATTCTCCGTGCCGGTCAACTTTGCCAAAGTTTTAAGGGACGGAGGTAGTATTTCAAAAGTACCATATGACATTAGATTCACACATTGAAATTCATATGTGTTGATTATAAATATATTTTAATTAGATTTATAAATATGAATAAATGGACCAAACATTACTGCTAGAGTTTTATTGGACCAAAATATGACTCATTTAAAGGTGGATCAAAAAGTGATTCAACCTTATCCTTGTTTTGCCATATGTCTTCGCATTCTACGCCCTACATTCTCTTTCCTTCAGTTGTGCAACACTGCTTCTCTTTCCTTCAGTTCGATGACATATCCTTCATCCCTCAGTTGTGTCGCCGCCCTGGTTTCTGCCGCCCTTAGCTATGCCGCCGATCTCACCACCATCTGCGACCTCATCACGTCGGATATCAGATCTAACTGCTAGGGTTCAATTCGAGGGCGGCGGTGACGGAGCTTCTTGGTTTAAGGCAGCAGCACGGTGGTGGGTTGCTGACGGCTAGGGTTACGACGTTGTTGGTGGGCTGACCTAGAGGTAGGGGATTGGATTTGGGATTGACAACTGGGGGCTAGGGCGAGTGACAGAGAGACTGGGTGGTGTTGGGATAGGTCAGGTGGTGGCAGGGCTGGGCGGCGCTGGGGCAGGTCTGGTTGTGAAGGGGGATGGCCGGCACTGGGGAAGGGTGAAGCGGCGTTGGGGCGAGGTAGGCTGGAGAGGGGATGGGGTGGGAGTGGTGATGCACACTAATTAGTAGTGCATAATTACATGTTTTTATGTTTGATTTATGTTAATTGTTTGACGTTTTATTTAGTTTTTAAACATTTATGTGATTTCAGTTGTAATTGTATCTTAGTCTTTATTTGTCAGTTGTAAAGTTTAGTTAGGATTTGTGGTTTTGGAAAGGGAGACTTTGAAGTAAAGAAAAAGAAGATTTGGCTGCCCAGGAGCAAACACCCGACCGGGTATAATACTTGACTCGGTCGGGGAAAGAAGTGAAAAACGAAAATGCAAAGAAAGTGCATGGCCCGGTCGGGCCCACTACCTCACCCGGTCGGGTGAGAAGTGACCGGGGACAACCCGGTGTGCAAAGATCACCCGAACGTGAAGAATATCCAATTTTTGCACTCACCCGGTCGGGTCCCCTACCCCACCCGGTCGGGTCTGACTTGACCCGGACACTTTAACATGCTGAAGATCGCCAGAACGTGGAGGATATTTGATTTTGACATGGACCCGGTCGGGTGAGTACTTGACCCGGTCGGGTACCCGGCCAAAGGTGTTGAAAAACACCTATAAATAGCACACTTTTTCTTCACAAAAATAATCCCTTCTTCCATACTCTTTAGCTCAGTTTAGAATAACATTTCTTTATATTTTTCTAGCTATGTTTAGTCTCCAAATGAGGAGCTAAACTTCCATTCTTGGTGTTGCTCTTGAAGCTTGTTGATTATTAAAGTTGTGAGTTATTTTCTTAACTTCTTTCCTTGAATATTAATTAATAGTTCTTTCCTTAATACCATCTCTATATTAATGTTGGGGAGTGTTGCTAAGATGACAATTAATTAACATCTCGACATTAGTTAGAATGGTATTTTCTTCCTCTATATTAATGTTGGGGAGTGTTGCTAAGATGACAATTAGTTAACATCTTGATATTAATTATAGTAGGATTCATCTTCTTTAATAATATTCTTCCTTGAATATTAATTAATCCCTACTCTTATTTCATATTAATATTTTGAACATTACTTAAAGGATCAACTAGTTTTGTTTCATATATTAATTATTACTAGAAACGATCAACGAACCGATGGTTAATCGTTGATGGTTTCACAAGTAAGTAACTTCGGTTTATTAATGCACGGTCGTGGTTAATAAACTTAAGAGGGATTAATTTTGTTGGTTAAACCGAAACCGCTTGTGTTGAGGTTATCAATCTCAATTGATTTCATCAAAGAGTTAGAAAGATTAAATGCTACTATTAAATCGGTATACGGCGTTGTTCTATATTTGATTAATAGTAAGGGTTATTAATGAACGGTCGTTGTTAATAACTACCCTCGATGAAGTGGATATACTCCCCGATTGAGTATTCGAGAGGGAATAAGTTATAGATATAACAATGATCGACTAAAATATATCAACAAGTGGAAAGTAGCAATGCCAAGTCCTTTTTATCTTTGAATTAAACACATATAGGTTGTTTCATCTTAGTTTCTTAATTGAATTAAATCACTCAAAACCAAAACCCCCCTTTTCATTACTAGTTTCATAGAAAGAAAATCGTTCCTTTCCCTGTGGATACGAACTCTACTACGCTATACTACGTATAAGTGTTTAGTATTGAAATTATTTTGACGCACCGTGACAAAGTGCTCGTCAAATTTGGCGCCGTTGCCGGGGAAAGGCAATTAATTTTTCTTTTTATTTTATTTCGAAAAAAAATATATATAAAGATTTCTATTTTGGCTGAGCTTTGTTTTGAGTATATGGTTAAACACCGATCTATAAACCAAATCACCTACCAAACAAAGCCCGAAACAGAACAAGCCTTCGAGAGATTCAGGAATCTATTTCCGAATACTTCTTCGGAGGAATCATCAAGTGCTAGTTCTCATTCTAGCGAATCCGAAGAGTCCTTCCACATGGCTCTGGAAACAAGGACGCTGAGGGAGCTCACGGCTCCGAATCTAAATCAACAACCCTTATGTATCACTTTTCCAACTCTTGATACGGGGGTCACATTCGAGCTAAAATCTGGGCTCATTCATCTACTTCCCTCTTTCCATGGCCTACGAGGGGAAGATCCAAATAAACATTTGTCGGAGTTCCATATTGTGTGCACAAGCATGTGCCCCAATGGCGTGTCCGAGGAGCAAATCAAGCTGAGAGCCTTCCCATTCTCTCTCAAAGACACCGCCAAAGATTGGTTATTTTATCTTCCCTCGGGGAGCATCAACACATGGACTCAAATGAAAAAGAGCTTCCTTGACAGGTACTATCCCGCTTCTATCTCTTCAAGTCTCAAGAAGCAAATCAGCAACATTGAGCAAGCAGAAAATGAGACCTTGTATGAATATTGGGAGCGCTTTAAAAAATTATGTGCTAGTTGCCCATATCATGGATATTCAGAACAAGATCTCATTCTCTACTTCTATGATGGACTTGTTGATCAAGATAGACGCATGGTGAATGCGGCATGCGGAGGGGGTATTGTCAACAAAACCCCTTCTCAAGCAAGAGACCTCATTTCGGAGTTGGCCGAAAACTCGAGACATTACAACGGAAGGTCATCATCGAGACGAGTCATGGCAGCGGAATCCAACAATTCGTTGGAAAGTCAAGTAGCCGGCTTGACTTCTTTGGTTAAACATTTCCTTTTAAATCCAAAAACCCAAGAAGTCAAGGTCTGCGGCATCTGTTCAACGCAAGGGCATCCCACAGATTCTTGCCCGACACTACAAGAAGAGAACTCCGAGCAAGTCAATGCTTTGGGGTTCCAAGGTCAAAGGAGGTACGATCCTCAAGGAAATACTTACAACCCGGGATGGAGGGATCATCCGAATTTAAGGTACGGAAATTCTCAAACAAATCCTCCCCCTCAACAATACAAACCCCAAGGCCAAACATCGAACTCGAGTATGTCCACTGAAGACATGATTCGAGCGCTGGCCGTTAATATGGGAACAATGCAGCAAAGCATGGGGCAATTCCAACAAACAATGATGCAATTCCAACATGAAACCAAGTCGAGCATTCAAAATTTGGAAACTCAAGTTAGCCAAATTTCAAATGCCGTAAGTCGACTTGAAGCAAAAGATTCAGGTAGGCTCCCCTCCCAAACTGAGCAAAACCCGAGACAACATGTCAATGCAATCATGTTGAGGAACGGTAAAGAATTGCAACCACGGGAAGTTGAGGAGGAGAAGCAAGAGGTTGATCTTGAAGAAGGCTTCCAACAAGAAGAGGAGAAGCCAACGAAGACTAAATTCCCTCCACTGTCATCATATGAACCACTCCCTCCATTCCCTGAGGCATTGAAAGACACGAGGAAGCTGAAGAATGATCGGGACATCTACGAAACATTCGTCAATTCTGAGGTAAACATCCCACTCTTCAAAGTGATCAAAAGTGTTCCCCGTTATGCAAAGTTCTTAAAGGAACTATGCACAATGAAAAAGAAAAATAAACTGGAAGGGAAACAAAAAGATGAAGTGAGTGAACGTGTCTCGGCCATTTTTAAAAAGAAACTCCCTGAGAAATGTAGCGATCCAGGCATGTTCACTATTCCTTGCAAAATAGGGGATACCTTATTTTCTAAGGCCTTGTTGGATTTAGGAGCGTCAATAAATGTCATTCCTTATTCCTTATATAAATCCTTACAACTCGGCCCACTACATAAAAAGGACTTGACATTGCTACTTTCCACTTGTTGATATATTTTAGTCGATCATTGTTATATCTATAACGTATTCCCTCTCGAATACTCAATCGAGGAGTAAATCCAATTCATCGAGTATAGTTATTAACAACGACCGTTCATTAATAACCCTTACTATTAGTCAAGTATAGAACACCGCCATATACCGACTTGATAATAGCATTTAATCTCGTAACTCTTTGATGAAATCAATTGAGATTGATAACCTCAACACAACGGTTTCGGTTTAACCAACAAAATTAATCCCTCTTAAGTTTATTAACCACAACCGTGCATTAATAAACCGAAGTTACTTACTTGTGAAACCATCAACGATTAACAAGCGTATTCGTCGATCGATTCTAGTAATAATTAATATATGAAACAAAACTAGTTGATCCTTTAAGTAATGTTCAAAATATTAATATGAAATATGAATATGAATTAATTAATACTCAAGGAAGAATATTAAAGAAGAAGAATCCTACTATAGTTAATATCAAGATGTTAACTAATTGTCATCTTAGTAACACTTCCCAATATTAACATAGAGCAAGAAATAACTATTACTATAACTAATGTTTAACTAATTATCATCTTAGTAACACTCCCCAACATTGATATAGAAATAGTATTTAAAGGAAGAATTAATATTCAAGGAAAGAAGTTAAGAAAATAACTCGGAACTTTAATAATCAACAAGCTTCAAGAGCAACACCAAGAATGGAAGTTTAGGTCCTCATTTGGAGACTAATCATGGCTAGAAAATTATAAAGAAATGTTATTCTAAATTGAGCTTAAGAGTATGGAAGAATGGATTCTCAAATGGGAAGGAAAAGGAGTGTATTTATAGGTGTTTGGAGGTGACATGGTCATTTACCCGACCAGGTTTTTCAGAAACCCGATCGGGTTTCCTGAGCAATTGCCCGGAATCTTCATTAGTCACATCTACCCGATCGGGTAAAAGACAAATCTTTGCCAAATCTTCACCCTGCACGTTTAATTGTGTCCAAATCAGATTTTATCTTCGGGTCTAGTCAAATCCGATCGGGTTTTTGGAAAATCCGGTCGGGTTTTTGACTATTTTCTAAAATTTTCACTTTCTCTTGTTCCCTTGCATTTCCTTGACCTTTCAAGGATCCTTTGATGATCTTTACCTAGTTTAAGCTCAGAAAATCCCTAATCTATACAAATTACAAGTAACTAGAAAAAATAAAGTATTACACCTAAAGTGTGCAATTTCCCAAACAACAACAAATAAAACTAGTTAAAATTACAAACATAAACAATAACAATTTTATACTCACTTACTTATTTTCTTTGTTCTATTTCTTTCCAGCATAAATCGCCAGCGACCAACTCTTCTCCTCCGCCGCCGGTTGCTCAAAACTTTCCCAACCACCATTGTGGACTGATCGTTGGCCATACTTCTCCAATCTGGCACCGATCTTCCACAACCAAAGTTTGACCTGCCGCCGCCAAGCGCCGTCCGTCGCCCACACTTCCCGAACCACCTTCACCAGCCTTGCATCGCTTAAATCTTTCCCAACGGATGCCACAACTTCTCAACCACCGACAGCCATCCCATAAAGAGAATCGGGAAGAATAGAAGAAAAGAAAGAAAAAGAAATTGGAAAATAAATAAATTGGGGTAAGGGAGAAAATCAGGACCAGAAGGATAGTGGAACCGGAAGGAAAGAAAAAAGAAAGCATGGAGGGAAGAAATGCACTGGTACGAAGCAATCTGGGAAGGAGTCTGCAAGAAAGAAGATGGTTCACCCGTTGGGCTTCCACATCAGCAGATGTATGGGCTATCGGTTGTTTACCGGTCAAACAGCAAATTTGGTTAATTTTTTGAACTTATGAACTTGATTGATTCAAAAAATAGTAAAAGAACTCAATTGACTTTTTAGTATACAAAAGTACGAGAATTTATCTGACAGTACGAGAAAGAAGATGGTTCACCCGGTATAAAAATCATTTATATGCTCATTAGCTCAATTAAGTGTAAGTCGCGATTTTCACTTTAACCGTGATACTTCGTGTTCACTTCGGACTCAATCTTTCTTGTACACGTATTCACGATTCACGATTCACATTTTCACCGCGAAAATTCTCTCATACCGTTCATACGTTAGCAATCACTCTTCGCGGTTTCGCCCCGGATCCAGAAAGACCTTCGCGGTTTGCTCTCGCCTCTACCCTTCCGAACTTTCGTAACTCTTCGCCGAGTGTGGAAGAAAAGGGACGCCAATGGATGAAGATCGGCCTCATAAACTAACCCGAGCTATAATCGCCACTTTGATCGGAGTACTGCTGACGCTGAGTAATTCTGAAAGAGCCCTAGCGTCCAAATCTCCATCAGCTTTCGTTCAGAACGTCATTTACTCCAACAAAATCGCCATCTTCTCCAAATCTTACTGTCCGTAAGTCTCTCATTTATCCATTTTTTCAACGTGCAGTGCCGTTCCAGGCGGTGGTACCAAATTTAGTACTTCAGTGGTTGGAGATGATTTATATTGGCGATTGGGCATGTAGTTAATGTGATTAATTGACTTAGTCTAATGACTAATCGGAGTTCAATTTCTATGCTTTTCACATGCAAATATTAGTTTGGAAATGGTATTCCTTTCTTACTTTTATGATTTGTCATCATCAAAAAGTAATACTCGCACAGCTGCACTAGTCGTTCAATTTTTCTTAAAAGAAATGCAGTGTATAACGAATTCATTGAAACACGCATCACTAGCACACCTCTTTTAGTTGGAAAACTAACATATACTCCGTATATCACTAGACAATCTGTTAGTACTTTGAATGATTGCATAACTTTCCCAATACGATATATCTATTACAAATATTATCTGAAAAAGAAGAGTGACAGTAGTCTAATGATAATAATAATAATACTTTGAAACTAATACTAATACTAAAATAATAATAGGCTCATATCATGAAAGCATTAAGCTTGCTGACTATCTTCTTGCTTCATGAACCATGATGCTACTGTAGCGAGTATTCGGCAAGTTGATTACCTTGTAGTGTCCTACTAGTATTCAATGCATATGTTGTTAGGCTCACAAGGATGTATATAAATCTTAAAGACCAAAAAGCTTTTTAAAGACTGTTTGACACAACTAAAGTCAAAGAGGTAAAAAATGAGCTCTGTATTTAGTACTGAAGTTGTTGAAAAGGTAAAAATTATGATGACGTGTTGTTCAAATTCTATTATGTGATGATAGACAAACTCATGGCTAGGGAAACTTGATCTTTAAAGGTGCAAAAAAAAAAGAATTAAGATTGTGATATAATCTTCAGTCCTTCTCATTTTTAAAAGGTATTCCATGCGTGCCAAGCATATATTTCATGAACTAAAGGAGTTACCTTTTGTTGTGGAGCTGGATCTTCGAGGTAATTCGTTATTTTTTTCCTTCCCCTGCTATTAAATGTGTCGACTAATTCAACGCAGTTGACTTTCATCTGCCAGACTCTCCCTGAATTTAGTGACGTTTTGATGACATACTACACTGAATTACATATGTAATTTCACTTGGCACTGAGTTTTCTTTTCTCAGTGTCGTCTGTCCAGTGTAGATCTGAAGTCTTTAATACAGACACTTCCACCAACAGAATAGCAGCTATAAAACTAAAACATAATTCATTTTTTTCACCTAGTACTTTAGTTGTCTTTATTGTTATTGTTTTGTTGTTGTGCTTCTGCATAACAGTTGAATAAACAGACATATTGATGAACATCATGTTCAAACTGGTAAAATGGGTTAATAAAATAAAGCATGTAAACAAGTTAAAAACTAAAGGCCATTGACTCATTGTAACCACTGAGAGTGTGATTAAAGGCCCATAAAATGTGAATATGCTCCTCAGGGCCTGCATACACTTGCCAGATATCTGTGGCTAAAATATGAAGGATCGTAGTAACAGGGACTGTAGAACAAAACTACTACCAACTTGACATATATTATAGTTGTGATGGTTTTATTCTACATATTGAACAGATGATGGGAACCACATTCAAGATGTCCTTCTAGATCTGGTGGGCCACAGAACAGTCCCGCAAATATTCGTTAACGGGAAACATGTTGGTGGATCTGATGGTAAAGCTTCAAAAGTTTATTTACTTATGTACTTTACTTGCTTCGGTTAACTGTATAAAGTCTAAACTAATTTAACCCCCTCCCTCTGTCGGCTTGTGATAATTTAGATCTCTATAATGCTGTTGAAAATGGGCAACTGAAATCACTCCTAAGCAAAGAATGATCCTGAATGACACATGGTTTGCTAGAGTTACAAAGTCAATTGCTGGAAGGCCTAACTAAATTGTGCAGGAAAGACTTTGTTAAAGCTACCACTGAATATTGATGCCTACGTGAATATATGGTAGTTGTGACTTGTGAGGTTGGATGTATAATTTTTTTCTGAAACAGCACCAATTGGTAATTTACGACGTAGTATTTGAGACAATACCACTACAGGATTGGCAGTCTGGGTCCAGTGCTCTAGTCATATTTCACACAATCATTTTCAAAGTGGTGCCTGTCCTAGTGTCCTATTTATTCACACAATCATTTACAGTCCTCTACTACTGTTTTGATATGAATCAGAACTAGAATCTTATTGATCACAGTACATGTTGTTTGGAATAAACCTTTTCGGTGAAGAAACACATGTATAACATTCATCATTAGTAACTAAATAAGCAAGTCTAATGTTACTTCTTCCATATTCAGAATAATTTCATATTAACCGGATGTGTTGGTAGTTTGCACTCTCCGTTTTGTAGTGATCGAGCATAAACGGCCAAAACGGGACTGGTAAAATAATTGAAGTGGGACGTGTATTGTTTCATGTTGGCACTTTGCCCAAAACTACTGCAAACCAATCCTGGTTCTTCCAAACTTGGACCCGAACTCACCGATTCTGGAGTGTTTTTATATATATATAATCTAAAAATCTGTAATTGCTTTGGATTCAACATCATTTTATAAATCACGATTGACTAATGCGCAAAATTTATATACCACAAGGGTATTGGGCACATTAAACCCTACAAGATTCTCCACCTTAGATGATCTACAATAACACCTCCACAGTGATTTTATGAAATGACGATAGCTTTTTCATGTGGGATGGGGAAAAAATAGTAAAGTACATACTTCTACCCTCACAGAAGCATATGGAACACCATGACCCTAACAAGAAGTCACTGATTTGATAGTAGACTACATGATGCTTTGAAATACTCCATAAGTAAAAGCATTAGGTTGAAGATGCAGCATTTGTTTCGGGTCGCCACTCGGTTTTCTCAGCGCTAAGCATTCCATCTTGTTTTTGATAAAAGGTCATCCGTACCTCCCAATGCAGAGACTTGAGTATGTTTTCTACTTCCTTTATTGTTCCTGAGTCATCTTGCATTATAAATTTTCCTCCAGGTCTAACTACTCTGTCCACCTCAGCCATTACAGCAGATATCTTGCACCTGCAGTATATTATTGGACATTTTTCACCATATGCTAATTTATGTCCCAAGGGGAACTAAGAATATCAAGTCCATGATATCCAATAGAAAATAATTGATACTACATTTGTAGTAGCCAGGAGGACCAAGGCCAACCTATAAAAATGGTACTGGTTCATCCAACATAGGACTTGAATAGTTGAGTGGACTAAATCTTGTTTTGATTTTTTTTTTCTTAAATTAGTTAAATAAGTGAAAATTCGACAGTCAGATTCGATTAAAACCAAATTTAATTTATGGTATATAAAATATGTGGTATATATGAAACTAAGAAAGTGAGATACATATTCTGCTTTAATGTGTGTGATTTCCTAGTGTTTCGAATGTATATATACCTCAATTTGAGCTTAGAGAAGAGATGATCAGCATGGAGGAGATCATATGTTCTTGGGTATGTGCTGAAGGATTCACACCAGTCGTGGTATATTCCAAATAGGCCACGCTCATATATGATTGGAAGGGTGTCTGGTGAGTCCACATTTACCACATTCATTACCCACACTTTCAAGTCCTTCAGTGCCGCAGCAAATCTGTAAAACATGCATGAATCAATGCAAGATGAATCTTCCTGTCAGGCCGGTGATAGGAACCATCGTCTTGCCACCTCCATTTGAGATTCTCCCGCGTTGATTTTTTGATGAAATTATGACATCATGTTTTTCATAAAGTATATATTATGTCCATCAAATTTTAGCATGAAACTCAATCAGAAAGTCAGTTAAATAAATTATTGAAAAATATTACGCTTATTATGTACTACGTATATTTTACTGCAGTGTTTTTTAATAATTTATTTAGCTTTATTATTGATTGAATTTTAAACCGAAATTCGACGGACATAAACTACACTTCATGAAGAACATGCTTACGAAATTTCATCAAAAAATTCCACTAGAAAGTACCTCAAATAGAGGTGGCCGGATGGCACCTCCGATCAGGCCATCCCAACAAGACTCTACAATGCAAAAATGTAAGACATACTTAACTTTGTTAGCCATATATGTAGTATTAGAAATTCATGAATGTTTATAGTGTTGTATAGACTATAGGTTTCCCAAATAAAAACTTATAATGTGTTAAGTCGTCGGGGGTTAACCTGATTGGAATAGTAGTCCGGGATATTAAAATAGCACTTTATGCTTCATATTTTACTTGAGAATTCAACATAATGTGGTGAAAATCTCATTAAGGACAAAAATAATTACTACGAATAATTTTTATACTATTAAGAGGGAATTGTAATTTACCCCCCATAAACGGCTCTCATGTCCATGATATTTCTAACGCTGGACCAGTTGATGCCCAACCCGCTCATGTATGACTTGCTGATTACATGTTTCCAGTGCTCATAATCTGCTGCAAAGTCATCTGGAGCTGGTTTTCCATATATACCCATCTGAGATCTGTTTAACCAATATGGTGGCGTTTGAAGTCTCTCTGGCCATTGTTTAGGCCACTTTGATCCTCTATCCTTCTCGTCCGTTGAGATTCTGTGCATGCATGCTTGTAAAGGTACATACCTGGAAATCATGCAAAAGTATGTTCTTGATGATTAGCATATTTGATTAAATAAATCTTGACGATTTGTGGCCACTTGAAGTGTTGAACATCAAATCAAATTAGGCGTTATAAGGGTTTTAAATTGCGGTTGAAATTGCGATTGTGGTTGTAGTCGTTGTGGGTATGGCTATTGCGGCCGCTGCGATGCGTATTATGGCTGATGCAGTGTGAATTAATTTTCGTTCAAACAGAATAAGAAAATACTATTTCCCTTCTTAATTAAATGTCCCTTTAGGCTTGGGCATGAGTTTTAAGAGAAAAATAATATGAGTAATATAGAGTGTGTAGGGTAAATGATAAAGTAGGAAATAGAATGTATTAAGAAGAGTAAAGTGATGATAAAGTAGGAAATATAGTATATGAAGAAGAGTAAAACGATGATAAAGTAAGAAAGAGAAAGTAATACGAAATATGTAAAAAGTAAAATGGGTAAAAGTAATAAAAGTGAGATATTCATTTCAAAAACTTTCCTAAAATGGAAAGAAGGACAATTAACAAAAAAAAATGAAAATGGAATAAGAGACAATTATTAAAGAACAGAGACAGTAATTAAATTAGTGTGGCAGTACGGTGGACCGATGCGGCTCCTTTACGGTCTGTGTTGCAGTTACGTCAAAGATTGTTTTTGAGAATCCGTGTGAATCGAAATCTCAATATGCCGTCCACAATCGAAATATTGTGGCTGTTTTGGGTGTTGTGGTCCGCAATTTCAAACCTCGGGTAAAACTATAGAAGTATGAGTTTTAAGTGCTAAAAGAATATATAGGCCTGTCAAAATGTCAAATACAATTTGGAATGGAGAATGTACTCTCTCCATCCCGCTAACAATGGGACAAGAGGGAGTGACACACAAATTAATAAAAAGTGTTTTATGTGGTTGTAATTGAATTGATAAAGTAAGAATAATTTAGAGCCACACAAACTTTACCAAATTTGGTATGAGACAATCTTAGTGGAACGGACCGATAAGGTAAAATGGGACAATCATAGCGGGACGGAGGTAGTAGTAATTAATGTGGTGTAATATATTACTCCTACTACTTTAGTGTTTCAGTCTTGTAATTTTCTGTAAGTATCCACTTTTACTGTTTTGTAATTTTACTCAGTTACAGATTTGATCTTAATTATAACTAATAAGTTTATTCATTTTTTTGAAAGGATATAAGGCTATTCATATTAAGGATTTTTCGCGGGAAAGTACATTTTCTAACATAAAGCACACCGGAAAATTATCTGCCAAATCAATTTTTGCGTCCAAAAGAAATCCTTAATATGAATCAATTTATTAGTTAAAAAAGGGGATATCTACAAGTATGTAAAATTACCTGGACTAAAAGTATGCACATGCATAAATTACAACACTAATTTAATTACTCCCTCTGTTCTTTAATAATTATCTCTTATTCCATTTTCATCTGTTTTTTATTAATTGTCCTTCTTTCCATTTTAGGAAAGTTTTTGAGATAAATATTCCACTTTTATTACTTTTACCCATTTTACTTTTTACATATTTCGTACTACTTTCTCTTTTTTACTTTATCATCACTTTACTCTTCTTAATACATCATCTTTCCTACTTTATCATTTACCCTACACACTCTATATTACTTGATGGAGTACATGGCCCGGGAACCCCCGGCCCACAGACTCCTACTACTCCAGCGAAGGCCCAACAGGCCCAGAAGGCCCAGCAGGCCCAAATCACAGCGCCCGGAGTACCAAGCAGCCCGCACTACGCGTCAGGGGTGCCTTCGGCCCCCTGGCCGAAGGCTCTAAATTCTCACAGAACGGGTTTCTCAAGCAAATTAAGAAACTGGGAGAAAACGGCGAAAACAGTAGCCCTCGGCACTGTGAGCCCTCGGCACCAGGGTGCCATCGGGTGGAAGAGCCCTCGGCTACTGCTCTATAGCCGAAGGCATCTCACTCGACAAGATATCCGCCTCACATGCGTACAGATCACCGTACCCCGCACAGACGTCCCGTCCAACAGCCGCATTAAATGCGGCCACATGCGGCTGCCAGCGCCAACCAGTTGAGGTGACCCCTCGGCCAATGAGCGCTTGACACGTGTCCCTGCCCGGCATTTATTGCTACTATAAATAGCACCCCATTTCCTCATTTGTAACCACGCTGAAAACGGCATTCATATTGAATACACTCTCTCTCTACTTTTACTTACTTGCTCTGACTTCTCTCTAAGTTATTCCCCGTAATAACCCTTCGGATATATACCCCCGGGTAGACTATCCATCATTTGGTGCTCTCATTGAGAGGTTTGAACACATCAAGTAAGAAAACCTCCCAAAAAATACAACAAAAATCATCCAAATCACAAAAAATCCAGAAAAAGTTGTTCTCGAAAATCAAAAGAAAAAAGGTGAAAAATGAATCTGCATTCTGGGGAATTGGAGCAGCAAGAACCACTCACTGTCGTGGGTACGGCTCCAGATCTCAGACCTCGTCACCGCCTTAGAGCTCACCTGTCGCCGCATATGTAGACATCGCCACCAGCAAAGCTGATGTTGTTGCTTCCGTTATCCGTCGCTATGACGTCAGCATCCAGTTCGCACCACCATACTAAACTTCTTGAGGAGCCGGCTGGGCTCGTTTCTGTAGTCAAACGGAGGGCTCGTTCCAGAGATCCGACCTCGCCAGAAGTGACCCGAGCAGCAACGGTTCCGATGAATCCTCTTTCACTCTCCAGCGAGAGCAGTGACAAGGGGCGATGGTGCTTCCAGACCATCGACGACCCCGCCTTTCACTTTTCCGACCTATCCTAGACCTGGCCGGAGCAACCGTCACCGAGCCGCCGTGTCTCAGGGGGTCACCGCAAACCCTTCTGGTCTCGCATCGCCGCCACCGGCAGGCCACCGATGCCACAGATCTCGCCAGCCAGAGAGGATCTGCAACTTCTAGATCTGGATTTCCATAGATCCGCCGGAACCCTCGTGCTGTTAGAGCTCGCCTTGCGCCGTTGTTCTCTTCCGGAACCAGGTCGGCTCCAAAATTCGCATCGACACTGGAGCTCCCAACCACAACAGCTTCCCAGTCGCGGTGGAAGCTGGAGGCGCCCCTCCGCAGCAGCTCGCGAGTCGCTGAACTAGCTCGCTACTCCGCCTCCGTTGCAGCTCGAACTCGAGCCACGTGAGCTCGCGCAAATGCTAAATAGCGGCCGACGCGTCTGAGGGTGCTCCACCGTGTTGATGTCTCTCTTTGGTCTCCATACCCGGCGGCAGTGGAGTCGGGCCATGAAAATCTCCAGGTCTTGCCGTGGTCGGTCGTATATCAGATGATAGGTCAAGGAAGTTTTGCATTTCTGGGCCATGTCAAAAAAAAAGATGGGCTGGTCTGGGCAAGGTGTTTCAAGAGTCTAATTTCTACAGAGGCCCCTTATTCAAGCCCATTTCCGGAAGCCAAGTTCTAAATCAGCGGGCCAGGACCACTTCAAGCCCAAAATTGATGTTCAGAACTGATGGGCCACAAATTCGACAACACTCATGGATTTCGGCCCACACAGAAGCTAAGTATTCCAAAACTAGCTCCATGCAATTCATATTATTTCTATTTATTTAAATAATTTTTTTTGTCGGGTGAATGTCACACCATCACGCGCTTATGATCAAATGCCTAGTAGAGTGTGGCTTGAGACCCATCACTAGGATTTAAAGCCCTGACTCTCAGGCACAAAGCCCTGACCTAGATCAGGCACAAAGCCCCGACCAAGTCGGGCATGAAGACCGGTCTTAGTCATTCCAAGAGTGGCGACCGTTGCGTACGAATGGCTCACACATCCACTCTACTAAGTACTTTATCATAACATGAACAATTCACATTTCCACTTTTTTCAAGTGACGAACTCCCGATCGAAAACATAAACCCCAAGAAAAAAAATTATATGCATGTTAAATGTGTAGGTACGAAGATGACTTTACTCATTTTCACCTCGTCTCCACTCGCCTCAAGGAGTGGGGGGACTGGGGGACTGAGGGGTCAGAGTTTCTAGATGAGCAGAAAATATCACGCATGAGCAGGAACGAAAGTTGATTCGGTTGAAGAGGAGCTGAGCTAGACAAAATTGATTATGCCGGAGGGAACGTACCTTCCTTGTTTCATGTTGGGGGCGCTAGGTGTACTCTTTTTCTCTCATTAGGATTTTTTTCCCACAGGGTTTTTCCTAATGAGGTTTTTAACGAGGCACCTCCCCATCATGGACAAGGGTGGTGGTCCCCGGCCGGAGAGGAAGAAATCAAAGACAGAAGAACGTTGCAGATACAGTTTGAACTACTCCCTTTCACCTCGAGTACTCTAGACTCAGGAAGTGGGGGACTCCTGATGGAGTATATGGACTCCGACCCCTCGGTCTGTCGACTACTGGGCCTGGACAGCGACCCACACACGTTTAGCGGATATCATTCATATTATTGTACATTATTATTATTGTTCAGATGTTCTAGATTAGTTTTTTGTACTATCAGTCCATTTATGTAACCGGGTCTGTCAGGCCCATATTAGACGCCCAGACCCAGATTTCCCTATATATACTCCTTATAGGAGGCTTGTAAACAATAAGTCATAGAAACCATTTTCATCCAATCTATACATTATCTTCTTCTTCCTGTTTAATCTATCCTAGTTTATACAATATGGGTATCAATTATCCAACAATGGTGCTCTCGTCAAGGGTAGCCTCCGGGTACACTCACTCAGAAGTGCCGCCGGGTTGTGCCCCAAACAGCACATAACAGACGCCTTCGGGATCACTCCTTCAGAAACTCAGGGCTTCATATCAGGGCACCCCTCGGGGATTCCCCCTCAGCACTGCAAAACCGGGTAGCCCCCGGGGAGTTGCCTCATTGACGGATGACCCATGGCACGCAGGTAATGGGAGCCCTCGGGTATCTTCATCACCAACTAATCAACAAACAGTGGACCCCCCAGTAACAACTCCATTGCCGCCCTCATCCAGCAGGCCCTCGATCCCCGAATTGAGGGGCTCCCCTTCGGCGCCACCAGGACATCAACAGCAAGCCTTCGGCTAATCAACACAGGAGCCCTCAGAAGAGAGAGCCTTCGGCATTCCCGTCATTCTCCATTTTTTACCAAGGTTTGACATTTTCGATTCATCATTGGGGGAATTCGGTGCACTCTTTTTCCCTCATTAGGATTTTTTCTCAAAGGGTTTTCCTAATGAGGTTTTTAACGAGGCATCCCCCCAAAATGAAACGAAAAGCGTCAGCCTTCGGCCCACAACAGCAACGTGACTACTTTACTCCTTTTCACCACTTTACAAGTGCCTCAAGGAGTGGGGGACTGGAGGACCCCCTCGGGAAAATCATTAAATTACAAAATCTGTGAAATTCCAACAAACGACAAGGCAAGCCCTCAAGTCCCGACATGTGGGTAACTGAGGGACTGCCTTCGGCAGGGACATAAAAGCAACAACTCCTCACCAACTTCAGAGATCATGACGGGACAACATCAAAGGGCAAGCACAAATTACTCCTTTTCCCTCAAGTACCTTTCGGCAAAAGGAGTGAGGGACTCTTGATGGAGTACATGGCCCGGGAACCCCCGGCCCACAGACTCCTACTACTCCAGCGAAGGCCCAACAGGCCCAGAAGGCCCAGCAGGCCCAAATCACAGCGCCCGGAGTACCAAGCAGCCCGCACTACGCGCCAGGGGTGCCTTCGGCCCCTGGCCGTAGGCTCTAAATTCTCACAGAACGGGTTTCTCAAGCAAATTAAAAAACTGGGAGAAAACGGCGAAAACAGTAGCCCTCGGCACTGTGAGCCCTCGGCACCAGGGTGCCATCGGGTGGAAGAGCCCTCGGCTACTGCTCTATAGCCGAAGGCATCTCACTCGACAAGATATCCGCCTCACATGCGTACAGATCACCGTACCCCACACAGACGTCCCGTCCAACAGCCGCATTAAATGCGGCCACATGCGGCTGCCAGCGCCAACCAGTTGAGGTGACCCCTCGGCCAATGAGCGCTTGACACGTGTCCCTGCCCGGCATTTATTGCTACTATAAATAGCACCTTATTTCCTCATTTGTAACCACGCTGAAAACGGCATTCATATTGAATACACTCTCTCTCTACTTTTACTTACTTGCTCTGACTTCTGTCTAAGTTATTCCCCGTAATAACCCTTCGGATATATACCCCCGGGTAGACTATCCATCATTACTCATATTATTTTTCTCTTAAAACTCATGCCCAAGCCTAAAGGGACATTTAATCAAGAAGGGAAAGAGTATTTTCTTATTCTGTTTGAACGAAAAATTAATTCACACTGCATCAATGGGAAAGACAATTTTATGATTGCCTAAGGTATTATCAATGAGAAAATTACATTTAAAATATATTTTATGAATTAAATAAAGAAAAAATTATATGAAAAATAACTAAAATTGTCCTATATAGTAACTTCAACAATTAGGTCAAATAATAACTATAACCTTACTTATTTTAATTATTACACAATTCAGCGCGCAAAATCAAAACCTACATGTTCCATCAAAAAATTAGTTGAAAGCCGATAAGTCAAAAAAGCAGAGTCGGTGAACGGTCTCAAAATCCATTTGGTAATTCAAAGAAGGGACAGAGAATATGTGAGCTTACCAGGCAGCATTTGAGTCATCATCGTCATCACACATTGGGGGAGTTTTGGATTTCCTATGATTGTAGCAAACATTGTTTTCAGGTTTGTGATAGATAGCTACACCAATGGAGTTTAGCTTGTCCTTCTTTATCCCAACAAGCTTCCAACACATAGACACAGTCAAGGTAGACATTTCTGGGATACAATGTAAAGTAGCAATAATGAGATATATTTTGATCAATGATTTTAATTATTAGAATTTTGTGAAGGTTATAAATTACATATAAATGTATTTTTAACAAAAAATATTTTCATGTCAGTAATATAGTTTAATTTTTTGAATATAATATTCAAAAAAGTAAAGTTTTAAGAAATGAAGGAATAATCACCAATTTTGCTCATACTCCCTATATATTAAAGGTTCCATAAAACAAGACATGATTGTTTATGTCGTACCCTTCCAAATCTGCACATCTTCCTTGAGTGTTTGGTAGACTGGAGTTGCTGACCAGACAAAGTAACCTCCAGGACGAAGAACTCTATTTAACTCCAAAAGTAGAGCTCCACCTTGATGGCAAAATTCAAGCATTTTTATAACATGGGTGAAGATTTTTAGGAATTGAAGTAAAACTTGTGGAATTTCCTTACCGAGAAAAAAAAACTTGTGGATTTTTCAGCCACATATGAGCAAGACTAGACTTAAATCTATCAGATCGGACTAAATTTAAATAGAGATAATTTCGTAATAGGACTAAAACAAGAATAAATTTCATCATTAAGATTATTATTGCTTTATTCCCAAAATAGGATTTATTTGCTCTTATTTCAAAAATAATACTCCCTCCGTCCCATAAAATAAGTCCCATTTCAATTTGGATCGGAGTTTAAGAAAGTGGGAATAAAGTGGAAATGTATGGTTGTGGTTGAGTAAGAAAAAGGTAAATGAATGTTAGCCACACAAAACTTTCCAAAAAGGGAAATGAGAATAATTTTTTGGGACGGCCCAAAAAGGAAAATGAGACTTATTTTATGGGACAGAGGGAGTATTAAAATAAATGCTATGAAAAAATAGGACCACTTTAAAAAAAATGAGACTAAACTACTATTAGTGACCATGACCAACTCGACTACTAACAAACTCTCTCAGTGACCAACCCGACTTGTGACCATGACAATTCTGATAAGTGATCAACTCGACCATGACCAACTCGATTAGTGATCATGACTAATCCGATCAGTGACCAAGTAGCAATATGTGACCATGACCAAACCGCCCAGTGACCAACCTGCCCGACACCAACCCGGCTAGTGACCTCCGCCGCTCCGATAGTGACGACCGCCCAGTCCACCCCTGCAATTATGACCTCACCAATCCCCCACCATGCGGATAGCCCTGCCCCACCCGCCCAGCCCTAGCCCCCATCCTCCCTAGCTTCCCTTTCCGGCCTCCCAAAATTTCACGTGCCCAAATAAAAAGGAAAATAACTTGAATAATACCAATTATCAACCATAAATAAATAATAATACATACATTGAAATGAATTCCAATAATACAACTATTTGAATACATAAAAATAATAATATAGAGCCACTTTTTGATAAGAAATTTAATCATTTAAGATATCAAAACTGCTATCAAATTATCAAATAAATAATATTTAGAAATAGGGTCACTTATTTGATATTTTGAAATTAGTTTTTGATGAGTTAAATGACTGGATTTTTAGTAAAAATTTGAAGCGAGAAAGTCACATACCTTCGGCGTGCCAAGGGACTCTGCAACGTGCACAATGCACAATGTCAAAGACGCCACTAGGGAAGGGGAGGCGTTGAGAGCCCATGACGGCAGAGATTGCCGGAATCCCTCTTTCAAGTGCGAATTGAATTTGAGCTTCATGTTCATCTTTAGGCGCAAATGACATTGCCAAAACGTCTCTATCAAATAGGTAACCGCCAAAACTAGCAACTCCACACCCCACATCTAATATCACTCTCGTACGCTTTCCCCATGCAATCTTGGGTACTGCCTAACGTTTAAATGTTTATTATAAAAAAAGTTGACTTAGGGTCATTGAGATTGTTAGTTTGGGGGACTTTACAGACAAAGTATACTCCTAAATATGATATCATGCTTAGGACATGAGCGCACATTGTCTGTAAAGTCACCCAAACAAACTCACCTACAACTCTTCAAGTAGTCAAACAAGTGTAATTTCATCACCTAATTCAATAGAGCTAAGCGAATCAAAGTCTTTGGGGAAAAATTATAAAAGATTTCAAAAACTTTTAGGCTTAGATTGCAGGAATTATTTAGATCCCATCTTACAATCTTTACAAGATTCAAGTCTACCACTCCTTAAGATTTGCTCTTGTATGGAGAAAGAATATTAACTTATTGATCCAAATAAGTTATTATTCTTTCTCCATACAAGATCAAATCTTAAGGATGGAGTATATCTAAGGTCTTATATACTGAACGTTTCTCTGAGGAGATAATATTAGAAACTATCGTACCATGTCAGACACATGATAGTACAACTCAAAAAACATGAGATTATAACAAACTAGACTTGCAAGTTGCAACACATGATAGTACAACTCAAAAAACATGAGATTAGACCATGTAAGACCTAAACATCTAAACATAGAAAATACATTTACAGAAGAACAAGGCCTTAATTCCAAATTAAATTTCATGGTTTGCTTTTCAAAGTGAAAATGGGATATCTTTGACCACTATGGCACTATTATTTGGTATATGTCTATACATTAAACCGGACATGACACACAAAGTTGAAAACAAGTAAACAATCACTCCGGGCATCAAAGTTAGATATTTGTTCTGAACTTCTGATTCAAGGTCTTCTTCAACTAGAATCACAACCAGTTTTAGTTGTATAAGAAACTAAGAAAGTGATTTCTTTTTAGTGTCTGACATTGTTTATGGGGTATGAAACAGAAAAACAATTCCTAATATTTAGACCAACACTAATTGAAACTAAAGATTACACTAAGGTTTATTAGTTTAATTTACTCCCTCTCAACGACATTAATTAATTTTTCACTTTTTGACCGCTAAATCTATAGTAATATTTGAAATTGCAGGCACCTTAAAGGTTCATATTTAGAGTCACACTTTAGCTTACCTGTTGGACAAAATCAATGTAATGTAAAGCTCCATGGATAAACTGAGTGCCTCCACCAGGAAAAGTAAGGAATTCTCCAGATACCTTCATCCAATTTTGATGCCCTTTCACTTCTGCCAACAATGTATGAGGCACATTGTGATACCATATCTGCCATAAATGCATAACTTTTGTTAAGTATATACAGTTAAAAACTCACATAGAACAATTTAGACTACTTCTCTTATTATTGATTAGAACTCTTTCAAGTGGATTGAGCATGATAATAAGACTGTCACTGACTAGTGATCACATATATGCATTTACCTTATCTCGGCTTTGTGGCCATTCAATCGGTTTCTTGTACCCTTTGGGAAGCGGGACGAGACACGTAGGAGGCTCCTCGGGGCAATGTCGCTCCCTGTGCTCGAAATGCCTTCGACTCCTTAGCTTCCTAATAGCCTCCTCGTTGTCCAAACACGGTATATAATCGGGACCGGCTGTCACATTACACAATTGCCAGCTCGTAGTACTACTTTCTTGATCATCGTCCTCGGTTGAACTTGTCGTCGTCGTCTTTGCCCTTTCTTTCTGATTATCGGATTGCGTGGCTTGAGTCGACCACTCCTTCTTTGATGTCTTCGGGACCACCTCGTTTGTGTCCTGATTTTGTTGAGTTTGATCTTCTCCCACCACCTCATCTTGATGATCTTCGGTGTGAGCTTCTTGCTCAGATGATTGTCCTTTTGATTGCATCTGATCGTCTTCTTTCTGTTGTTGCTCGAATCGCTTCTGTTGATCTTCATCGGATATCAAGTTTTTCGTGTCAGCCGATGAGGTTTCTTGAACCTTATCATTGCTTTCTTCTTTCGAGCTTTTTTTGGCTTCAAATATCTCTTCCCTTGACACATCACCCTTTTCATTTGTTTGTTCACTTCCACTCTGCTTCTCAGCTTTCTCATCCTCCTCTGCTTCCTCTGCCGCTTTCTTGCTATCTGAGTCACCACCTCCGTCCCGATCAACCTCCGCCTGCTCAACCGCAGCCTGATCTTTATTCGAATTTTGATTTGCACTCTCAGGGTCGGACGATTCATTTTTCGAGGTGTCTTCATTATTATCCCGGGGCTTCGCCTCCTCGTTGTCGCGGTCGGTTGACTTGATGGCGTCTTCAGGAAGCTCTCCGGGGTGGTCTTCGAAAGCGGGCGGGCTCTTCGAAATGGTGGTGGTGACAGAGCTGAGGAGGGAAGAGGCAACTCCGGCAGCGGCGTTGGTGGCGGTGGCTGTGGACTCGCGGGTGGTGGTCCGGGGAGGAACAACAGAGGTGGAGGACAAGAGCCAGACCCCTAGGATGCACAGGGCTACGAAGGCGATGGGGGTGACGGTGGAGGAGCAGGAGGAATTGGATGTTCTTCTACCGCCGGTGGTACGCACTTTTCCTAAGGCCATGTTTGTCTGCTTCTTGTTTTTCTTTTACTTTATTCCTTTAATGGTTCTTGGAAAATGGTGGAGTTTGAACAAGGAATTAAGACATGAGAGGACTTCCCGATTAGTTTGTGGAGGAATCAAGAGAAAACGGGAGACTAAAAGACGGAAGAATGATTCTCATTAAGATCCACAAGAGTAGGATCAAGAAGCTTATTTAGTTACTTACTTCTGTTATTTCAGTTGCTCCTTTTCCCGCGCTTATCTGGTCAAAATACAAATAGAGATAGAGATGTTCCTTAATAGTAACACACTACACATTCTGATTATATATATTTCTCCATTTTTATTTTAGTTTAACCATTGTATATTGAATTATCTTTTATTTTAAATTTTTAAATATTATAATTTAAAAATACAAACTAAAATAAATTTTGCAAGTTACATTAGGATTTTTGTTGGGAGTTATTCCTTCAATATTACTAAATTAAGTGTGATTTTCTAAAATGTGACCACTTTTACATTTGGACTAAAATGTGACTAACGTAGTCATATTCATGTCACTACCACATTTTAATGTCACTTATCAAATTTAATGTCACTATCGAATATCACTGTCGCCACCACCGGTGTCACTGTAGCCACCGCCCGTGTCACTGTGGCCACCGCCCGTGTCACTGTGGCCACCGCCCCAGCCAGTGACTGCCGCATCCACCCCCGACCAGTGACTCCCGCTGCTGCCCCCAACTCCGGCCACAGTGACACGTCATCTCCGACCACAATACCCCCTGCCCCCATGCCCTATCCCCCTCCACTAATCCCTACCCTCACCCCTTGCTCGGAAGGCTGCAACCTGCCTTCTCCCCCCCTCTACAGCCCCGACCAAAGTTCCGACCAGCCCAACCACATCTCTGACTAGCCCCACCCAGGCCCCAGCCTGATCTGCTTCGACAAGCCCCACCCAACCCTGATATGCTCCTCCCCAGCCCCAGTCCACCACCGCGTGACCAAATCAGCCTAACCCAAAACCCTAGCCGGCCTACCAGATCTGGAACTTAGCCTTCTGCAATCAAGTCGCCGCAATGAGACTGTAGCCTAGCTGGAGTGATCCTCGTCTGTTCACCACCGCTGCCACCCGCCCCCTCGGATTTGCCCCATTCACTCTCAAACAGAGGGGGGTGACGAAGATAATCGCAGGTGGGCGACAAAGACAAAGGGGCGGCGGCGAAGATGGAGGGGCAGCGGCGGAGATGGATGGACGACAGCGACTACAGATGAAGGAGAGAAGGTCGCAGATCGGGACTGATGATTGAAGAGTTGATGTCATCTTCGATGGAGATTAGGTGCTGCGCCGATGGTGTGAGCGGCTGAGTGCATCTTCGACAATTGAAGAGACAAGGAGAAGGATAATTTTAATTTTTAACTCACTTTTTTGTCCAATTGAAATTTGGTCATATTTTTGTCCACCTAAAGTGTATGAGTAATACTCTTGCCATTGTTTTTTTTTGTTTATACTCCCTCCGTTCTTTATTAACTGCCTCGTATTCTTTTTAGGGAAGTTTTTAATTATTTGTCCCTCTTTCTCTTTTTTGGTAAGTTTTTTCAATCAAAATACTTTTATACCCCCACTTTTATTACCATTATCCCTTTCTTTTTCCTACCTTTTCATTTACTTACAACTCACTACACCTTTTACATTACCCCTATTATTTTTCTCTTAAAATCCGTGCCAAAGCTTAAGAGGACTGATAATAAAAAACGGAGGGAGTATATAACAAAAAAGTTATGTTCAAAATGAGATAACATAAAACCCGCAAATATCAAAATATTATAATGTGATGCTTTTGAGAGTGATGAGGGGAACAATCACAAATAATGTAGAGGTGGGCATGTTCTCGAAAATCCACTCGATAGACGATGTGTTTTAAGTTGCAATATGTTAATTTATGTGTCAAATTTTACATTATTCGACATGTTCTATCTTGAAACATTTTATTTGCTAATTTATGAGAATTATTGTTTTAAAAAATATTGTTCAACTTATCTCATTTATAAATTTTTAAAATCTGTTTTTTTAAGAATAAAGAATAAAATATATTGACGGTCAAATGTATGTGTTGGCAAATGTGCAAAGTGTACTATGCAACTAAAAAATGGAGGAAGTATTGTTTAACCAAATGAAGATACAGAAGACACACACCAATTCTACGACGTGGGATGGACCTCACACCCCATGGTAACGAGAAGTTAATCCAAAACACTCCAAAATGAAATGAGCTAGTTCTTATATCCGGTAGACTAGAGGTTTGACTCACCGCATTAGGGATGGACCCAGGCCGGTCCGGTTCCGGTTCCGGGCTGGGCCCGGTTGCAAATCCGGTCGGGTTTTTTTTGCAAATCCTTGGGTCCGGGTCCGGGCCGGGCCCGGTTCAATGTCTAATTTTTTTTTGCTTTCTTGTTATCCCCCGACCCCCCCCCCCCCCACCCCCACCCCCAAACTTCCCCAAAACACCCAGCCCTACCCTAGGAAAAGAAAAAAATTGAAAAAACAAAAAAAATGACCCCGGCTCGGCCCGAACGGGCTAAAAGCCCGGAACCGGCCAACCGGTCCCGGTCCGGGCCGGCCCGGTTTAGTCCATCCCTACACCGCATAAACTGGCTGCAACTCTTAAGTGCTATAAATCATCTCACCTAGAGGCCAAAATCTTTCAGCCCGATCTTTAGAAGGCCATCAAATTTCACAACAAATACAACATAACTATCTCACCATCAATTGGAATTCCTTACAAAAACTTCAACTGCTAATGTTTTTTTAAAGTTTAACTGTTAACTGAAAACAAAGAAATGTGCATGTGTATACTCTCTTTGTCCCCCAATTAAGTTACTAGTTGCACTTTTTGAGTCAAACTTTATAAACGTTGACGTTAATTATTCAAAATTGTGCATTACTTTATCACACAAAATTAATTTTATTGATAAGTTCCTATTTCAACACGCATTTGATGCGTATTGAGATTGAGTTTTGTCACTTTTCCTAATTTATTTGCGTTACTAAGCGTTTATTTAGCTCAAGTCACGGATTATCGGGTTTGGGTTGGCATTTGTTGAAGAAAAGAAGAAATTCAGACCCGACAGTGATGTTTGAGCTTAAGTTGAGGAGATCTGGGATGCGTTCGAGAGATAGCAAGAGACATCGGAGGTCCACGGGATAACTTAGAGGCATGATTCGAGGCTAGAAAGGTCAGGGATTGAAGATAGGATCGATCGGGAGCAAACATGGAAGAAAAGAGCAAGAATATGGTTCAAGAGACATCCACGTGCCCCGCGGGTCAGTACCGCACGCCCTGTGGGTGATTTTGAGAGCTAGAAGTCAAGAAATCTGAACCGCACGCCCCGTGGATGAACTGCACGCCCCGCGGTCCAGAAACATGCCTCAGGGGTACGCCCACGGTCTGACCGTGCGGGCAGAGCAAAATTTTGACGCGTGGAAGGCCGCACTGTCGCCCGCATGCCCCGCGGACGACCCTGTGGGTCGATTTTCGCCCACTTTTGCCGTTTTTCTATAAATTAAGTCATGTTTTGTCCGTTTGATACCGGAGCTTAGAGAAATAAACCCTACCACGTTTTTTAGATCTTTTCAGGCCTTGTTCATCAAGATTGTGGAATTCTTTGTATGTTCCAACTTTTTAATTAATGACAATTAATTCTTTTCATCTCAATTCTGTTGATTCTTCAATTATGAATTGTGAGTAAAGTTTTAATTAGGCATTTGAGATTGATGAAGGGGTGTGTCATAATGTATGACTATTTCTTGATGGATTAATTGCATGAATCTTTATTTAATATGTGTATGAATGATTTAATCGATATCTCTTGTAACCTAGAACGGCCACTAGGATTATAATTGCATGTAGAATAAATTAAGAGAGATCTAATTTATTTTAGGACACTTTCACACACACTTAATCGTTCACTAAGAGATTAGTAACGGTTAAGGGGTCGTACGCTCGCTTGTTTTGGTAATAATTTAGCTACATGTCGCATGAGAGATCAGTCTGGTTCCCTAGATTATTGTACTATACGCCGCGAGAGCGGCTAGAACTTAGTATTGATTAGCGTTGCTTAATTAAATAATTTTCATGTGATTAAGTCAGGTTAGCTAGAAATCTTATTACCCCACAATCAATCTTTGTTCCCTATTGTCAATAATTAGAAAGAACCCCTTAATTTTATCTGCTTTTTCGCATTAGTTTAATTTTCCATCAATCAAATCTCGCACATCGCATTTAATTTATTTATTTTTAATCACTGAATTTAGTTAATTTCTGATTCCTGTTTTCCGTCCCTGTGGAGACGATACTCGTACTTGCACCCTATTCTAATACGTATTTTAAGTGAGAGAAAACCCACATCAGTTTTTGGAGCTGTTGTCGGGGACGGTGTCAGTTTTAAGGGTTAATTAAACTCTGTGACTCGTTTTTAGTTTTTCGTAGGTTTTTGTATTCGAATCGTTTAAGTTAGATATGTTTATGCATACAAGCTCTAAGAGGGGAGAACCGCTTGTCCCTTTTAATCTCGAGATAGAAAAGCTCGCTAGACAGAATCGCAAGGCTCTACGAGAGAAAAGAGTAGCCATGGACCAATCTTCATCTGGTACCACCAGGACATCTGGAGTCCCTATCACCACCACCCAGCCTGATTTCTATATAAACACCTCACCGCAATCTACCCCGCCAATTTCTCCTAGAAATCGCCCACCATGTTTCCAAAATTACCGCTTTCTTCCGTTCTTTCCCCAAAATACTCAAACTCTACAACTCATCATTCCTCCACTATATCAGCTTTTCCGAAACACTTCTACTGCTCCAAAAACCACTTTTCAAAATCAAGGATTTGCAATGCAAGGAGCAGTCAGAACACGCCCAACCCAAATTTCCAGAACCCGTTCCAGAACCAGCCACCCCACCAAAATCCTTTCCAGATCGTGTATCAAAATCGGCCCCAAGTACCACCCGTTCAACCCAGACTAGTCTATCAAGCCAGACAACAAGCCCCTCCAGCATATGTCTCCCATGATAAC